TCAGTCATATGGAATTTCCAAAGCGAAAGAGACAGACAGCGATGCAGAGAGGGTGTGCGTGTGAAAAATCAACAAACAAAATCAGTTCATATGAACTGTGATCAAGATTTGACCGGATAGTTGGAAAATAATTGAGCGCTGAGTGAGAAGTAGACATTTGTAAAAAGTTATATTTGTAAAATCTCAGCGAAATTGAAATGATTAATTCCAACGTTTCCTGAGTTCGGCAATCATCTGGTCCGAACTTCTTCAGGGAAATTAATCGAAATTAACATAACAAAGGTTTATATATATAAAAGGGACACCTCTTGTTTTTTAAAACTTTGTCCAATCATGAGCCATCAGTATTTTGTATTACCAAAAATACAAACATCATGGGAGAAGCAAGGGGAGGTGAAGGTTGGGGAAATACAGAATGAATTTCAACAAGAATTCAGATAACGGATGAGAAGAATAAATATCAAACAATAGTGAGACTGGATACTGAACAAAGAGTACTCTTTTCGATAACCCCTTCATCATCTATTCTTTCCTTCACGTTCCCCAGTGGAACATAGGGCACCTTCAAGCTAGTGGCCTGAAGTTTCTGTAGCAGTGTTTATTTTACAGGATGAGGTTGCTAGCCTCATGCCCAACCTTTCCTCTTCACCAGCATTATTTCTGGCTTAGCGAGGGAAAGGAGTGCGTCGGTGGCCGGGAATCGAACCCCGAACCATGTGGATGGTCGGCGAGCGTCCTAACCGCTGTGCCACCGACGCACATCATCATCAGGCTCTAAATTAATATGCTCAGAAGAAGTAATTGAAGATGATGAACTAAGCATTGTATATGATACTTTGATCGAAAATGGCTATCCCGAAAAATTTATCAAGAAACATATGGCAAAGAAAAAGGAGCACTCACTACCTGTAAAAAAGAAGCCTCTTTATATACGACTACAATTCATGGGCGATATAACCAAGTGAGATAGTTGCTAAGAAATTAAGAAAATCAGTTCAAAGAACTTTTACTGCTGGCGAACTACACGTCTTATTCTCTACACGACCGATGGTGATTCCTCGACTGAAAGATGAAGTACCTAGACTAGCCACTTCAAAGTGTATCTATCAATTCAACCGCACTTGTGGAGCCAGTCATATTGGCCGTTGCTCTAGGAACTTGATTTTTCGTGCTCACTCGAGAACATCTCCCAGCATGGCTAAGTAAAGGTGTAGTGAAAACTATTAACAGCTCGATATTGGAACATCTGGTGCAAACAGGACACAAAGCCAGCGTAGATGAATCCTTCTCTATATTATATCGGGTGCCGAATAAATTACCAAAAACATGGAAGCACCGCAGGCTCCAAACAGCAGAGGCTAATGCGATTCGCCTCAAAAACAACCAGCACTCTGTGTTCAAAAGAAGCAAGTCGAGCCAGCCCCTACTATTGCCCTGGCCTTCAGTAGAAGCCATAAACTCATGAATTTGTACTATTATCTTCCCTAATGTTTCTGACATTCAGATATTCTATGGTGATGCGATTCAGGTGTAATTTATCAATATTACTGATTTGATGTTATTTAAACAGCATTAATGTCGTTCATAACACTAACTCATCCATTCACTATAATGTGTATGTATTTGTAGAGCCTTATGATGAAGGGGTTATCGAAATGAGTACTCTTTGCTCAGTATCCATTCTTTTGAATATTTTAATGGGCATTTTTAATCAGTTAATAGTGAGACTCTCAAGCAAAACAACTACCCAAGGAACTTCATCAACAAAATCAACACTGACATTAAGTTTGTTCAGAAACGCATTCCGAAGACATAGACCTCAACAGTTGTCCTTCCATAAAGATCACAAACGTTAGACGACATCAGGAGAATACTTCATAAGCACGACATCTGAGTTTTCTTCAAAACATCAGGCACACACACACACACTACAAAGCAACCTTGTCCATGTAAAAGACCAAATCCCTAAAGATTCTCATACTAATTGTGTCTATAAAACAAACAAAGAGCTTGCTCGGAATGTGATGCGACATAACATCGGACAAACATCGTCGGAGAGGTAAATCAAGGTAATCAGAAGAAATGAACACCGTAGAATTGCCTCTGTTCGACCACTGGAAAAATCCAGTTGAAATAGAAAAGCCCGAAAAATCATCAGCCACACACTATAGAATCAGGTCACAAAATTCAATTTTGACAATGTTGGAATAGTCGAGAGAAATTTCAGAAATCACAAACAACGCCCAATATCATCAAAAGCATTTCATACCAAATGGAATCCAAATTGGTCTGAATAAGAATGGTTGACTAAAATAGAATTTGACCTGTTTACTACAGCCCCCAACTTCCCTCATGAAATTTTTTATTTTTGATTTACAGCTTGATTTCACACTGTATTTTCGGTACAAGTATGGAATTTTCAGCATGTGATATTGGTAGCCCAAATTTTGCAGGCCGACCATAGATATCAGATGTGCGTCGGTGCGGGCTCTAACCCCGGACCATGTGCATGGTCGGCGAGAGTCCTGACCACTGTGCCACCGACGCACATTTAATGGGCCAATCCTCGAGGTAGTGCAATACGAGGCCGACCCGTGGACGGGGTTGAGCAAGCTCACAGCACCCGTCCGTAAGGGAAAATTACAGGTAGTTTCATTGGTCTCAGTTTGGAGACCGTTGCAGAAATTACACTGCAAAGAACAGATACTACACATGATCTTAGCTCAGAGAGCCGAGAAGCGATAAATTAACAAAATCAAGACGAATGTGATAAGCAATTTCATTATGTAAACACATGCTGTTTTTACAATTTTACACACTGATCAAATCCAACAATCTACACACACACACACCTGGTTTTGTTATCCTTACCAATTGGCCATCTTGACGACCCAAAAATGATCCCATACTGAGGAGTGATGATTAAGTTGTCATATATAAACTGAGATTTTGTAAATTCTGGTTTAATATCACTACTTTGATAAAGCAGCTATTAGCAGCAGCATTAAATAGTGAAACCTCAGTGAAAGCCACAACAATATCGTTGTCTTTTTCATTGATTCATTGGGAAATACAAAAAGAAGCCTTTATCATAATAAATATCATTACACCCTGTCAAGGAACTTATTATTATTATCTGTCTATTATCTCCGAAGACGCTCGAACCGACAACTAATGAGGAAAATATTGACCTTAATTGCAAAACACAAGGACTTGTAATAAGTTGTGTTGTTCAGTAGTTGAAGTCAATCTGTCTGTCTTTCTGTCTGGATTCAACATAGAACTTGGCACCGAACTGCACCAGTTCGAGTTGCCACCTTCCAAATAGCACACAGAGGTAAACAAGAAGATGAATGAAGAGAATCAATAGAGTTTGACAAGTATAAGAGTGGAACAGAATGGGTAATGGTAGAAAGGAATATGAAAGATTACAGAGACTGAATACATCTGCGCTGGCCATTGACAACGACCACTTTGAGCCATGTCACCTATTGTCTCCAGCCATTGATTCCTAGAGTCAGTCCCGAGGGCCCCAACCCGGGAGTCTGCATCTCCCTACCTGACCGACTCAGTCTAACTGTGAAGGATTTCATGGATTGATGAGGCCATGTTTTTGTTTGGCCACCACTGGCTCTTTTCCAACCTGCACCTATATCAGCTAGCTAGTAATGACCGTCGGGGGAGGCGGTGGTTAGGCATGCACAGCACGTGACCTAGCCATCTCAATCTATGTAACTTTATAGCCTCGTCGATTGATTTTCCCTCTTTGCCTGACCAACACTCTACGCCTAACGTCAACATTACTTACCTTGTGAAACCACCTAACGTGAGACAGAGATCGCAGACATCTATGATCGAAAGCAGTCAACCTTTTCATGTCTTCAACGCGTATTGGCCATGTTTCAGAGCCATAGAGAAGGACGGAGCGAACTGATGAGCAGTACACACGTCCCTTGGTTGATAACCGGATGTCACGCCTACGCCAGAGATGTTGTAAGTCAGCGAAAGCAGCTCAAGCTTTTCGGATCCGTGCTGAGATTTCATCGCCAATCAGTCCGTTGGTGCTAATACAACTTCCCAAATAGGTGAAGTGGTCAACATGTTCTATCACTTCACTCCCTATCACTAAGTTAGGAGTTGACGTGGTCCAGTCCTGTAGCAGCATCTTACATTTGACAGGAGCAGGCGAATCGCATCCGAAACATACGAAGATTGCTGCTCAAGGTGTTCAGAAGACTCTGCAATTTGTCAGCATCCTCCCCTAACAGGACTATGTCATCTGCATATTCTAAGTCCATAAGACTATTCCCTGGTAACAAGTCGATTCCTAAGTCATTACGTTCAGTTAAGGTTGAAGTCAATACTCTGTACAAAGTTTATAAACAAATGTTTTACAAGGAATGCATCAGTACTTTTATTCGTATTCTTTTGTCTTCTTCCAACTTGTAGACGAATGAATCATTTGCGCCTTCGAGTTGCCCACCAATGACGACCAAGGCCAATGTTCAAACGTTCAATGTTCACAATCATTTGCATACCCAGTGCCCAAATTTTTTTCAAACTGTTAAAAGTGAACTTGATTTCAAACTAGTAAACCTAAACTATGCATTCATTCAAAAGAAGTTTGTACAGCTATTATCCCCCTCCAGTGTTGGCCTATTAAGACATAACCAATGGATGAATTCCACACTACCCCTTCCTTTTACTTATATTTTCAACCCCTCCCCCCATCCTTCTTATCATCATCCCTTAATCTTATCACATCTTCATTAAAAAAACATATTTTATCTACTTCTCCCATAATCAATCTAGCATTATTTAATCGGTCCATTTGTTATTCTTAGCCTTTATCGACTACTACTACTACTACTACTACTACTACGTCTACCTGAACATTTGTCTGTTTAATCATGCTGTTTTTCATTATTCTTGTTATCACAGATCGCCTCTTATTTATCATGCATGTTACTGATAGAAGCAATATAATTATAATCATGACTACTATTATTACAACAACAACAACTAATTACACAATAGGTAAGAATCCAGACAATAAACAAAAGTGGACAACATGTGAGGGCCGAGGGGCGGAGGGAGGGACATTTTGCCCATCCTATTTTTGTTGTTATTATTATTCTCATTATTAATGATTCTACTACAGTATATATTACACTGAGCACGCATCAATTACTTTTATCATTATTATGATTATTACTCAATGATATATTGTGTTTTAATGACCAGAAAGAAGGGGTGAGTACGCAAAAAAAAAACAAACACAAAACAAAACAAAAAACAAGGCAAAGAAGAATAAAAATAAACAAAATTTTTATTTAATTATGTTTCCTATTTTTAAATTCTTGGTGTTTTAAACAATAGGAAAACACGTGATCCTATACGAAAACAGAATGAATGTCCTGGTTGATAGGAGTAGAATGATGCATACTGGCCACGGACTATTACACAATGCCATAAACGTTTGAATTTTCGATCTAAGCGTAATTTGATCCATTTGACTAATTCCTGTGAACAGAAAGACAGAGGGAAAAAAGGGGATAAGGGGGTTAACCATACAGGTAGAATGAATTAGTGAAAGCGAAAACCAACTGCGAGGTGTTTTCGTGCATTAATATATAGGTAGATGCCACAATTTCAGGTTAGGCGTCGAGTGCTAGGTAGGTTGTCAAGCAGCTGCATCGACTGAGATGGCTAGGACATGTATTACGCATGCATCCCTAGCCATCGCCTTCCTTGACAACAGACAATGTTGGTTGACATAGGGTCAGGCTGAAAAAGAGCTAGCGGCAGTCGAACCAAAACATGGCCTCACCAGTCAATGAAATCCACAAGTTAGTTTAAGCCAGCCAGTCACGTAGGAAGGTATAGTACTTCATGGTTGGGGTCTTTGGGACGGTAAAAACCAATGAAGGCTGGAGACATCTGGTGATATAGCTCAAAATCATTCTCAACGGCTAGCGCAGATGCACCCATTCCCTGTGACTTATAATTTCCACTGAAACTATATTGTTCTTCGTTACTTCTATTCCTTTGTCTCACACCTCTGTTTACTGTCTCTATTATGCATTTCTTCTACTTCTTCTCTTGCTTTGTGTGTACAAGGAGTGGAGTGTGCCGATTTAAACTGCCGAACATCAGTGCAAAATTCTATTTCGAAAACAGACAGACAGATGCCACAATAGATAGTCCAGTTGTTGTTGCCTAGTGAGTCAATGTGATTACGTAGTCTCTGGTTGACACCTCTTCCCCTTCGTTATAGTTGTAATTTTGTTTTGTGTTTCGATTCTATGGTTTGAGTTTGATTGAACTCACCACATTGTGGCCTAACTTATTCGTTAGTCATCCACTTCACATAAATTTCGCAACTCCTTTGTCACTGGTATAAAGGCCTCATTTTATTTTCAGTATTCTTATTATATACAAGCGTTGATTTACAGGGAGTTGATTGGTTACAGCATTTCACAAAGGGCTGACATCGATTAGACTACCACTGGAAAATCAAGAGAGAGAGAGTAATAGACAATTGTTTCGTCAGCCTAGTTTGAAATTCTTCAGCAGAACGCACCCACCGCTACAGTTCAAATCCAGGATCTTCCGGTTACAAGCGAAGAAGCGAGCTCGTAGACCATTAAGTTACTGGGACGCCACCAAAGTTAAATCAGCGCGCAAGTTCATGTATAGGCCATTTGATATAACTGGATGATCAAAACAATCATAAATCATAAGAGATTTGGGCAAAGTTAAACTTTCGACAACACTAACAACCAATCAGCAAACGACCTTGAACGGACCAGTCACATTAAAGAGGCATATATGATGAATGGAAATGTATATTTGTAGAAAAAAGCATAAAATAGAGAATAAAAAAGTTACATGGGATATCTTTTTCGAACATGTGAGAGAAACATCTCCCAGTTTAGCATGGGACTGTCAATGGAGATGTTACACCATATCCTGTACATATATTCATCCAAATGACCATAAATGAAATCCATTTATAGCCCTTATCCTATTTTTCAACCTGTCCCAAAATCCTTCAATAGAATTTGCATGCGTCCTCGTAACGGGATCCACAAAATCACTTGAATGGTTGACTCTATGTTGAATATATCCCAGAGATGACAGTGAATTGTAGCCTTTCCACTCGTCGGTGTGTATAATTGACCCCCGCTTAACAAGTCTGGTAATAATAGGTATAAGAGTAGTTGCTTTTCTATCTGCTATCCTTAGGGAGAGAAGCGACCTAGCGAAAACAGTTCCTACGAAATATTAAAATTATCAGCTTACTCTCTCTAGCGTTAGTAGGCTTCAAACATATAGCACAACGATGAACAAACCCATCAGTTGATTTGGTATAGCTTTTTAAAGTCATGATACCACCACACAAACAAATTCGCTCTTTCCGGAGCAACTCAAATCCAGGAAATACTGGAAAACGCTAACCTCCTCGAATTGCAACAATAGCTTTGTAAGGTCACGCATTAGAAATGAATCAAGCGCTATACAACATTGAACTGTGTTCGTGAACCTCATTGGATAATTCGACATCGTTCGTGAATCTCATTGGATAATTCGCTGATTGGTAGTTAGTGGTGTCGAAAGTTTAACTTCGCCGGGATTTGAAATTCACAATAGAATGCTTGACAGGGACTGGGATTGCATTTCTAACCAACACAGCCTCGTCTAGTTTACTAATCAATTGTAAAAGAATTGGAAAAGAAGGAGGGTTGTGTAATAAGTTGACGAACTCCTCCTCCTTGCTAAATGAACAAACAACAACTACGACTACTCAACCCCAAATCTTTAAGCTAAGAGCCCGGAAAGAAAATGAATGATAAAATAAAATAGTGAGTACATGTCATCTTCGGTGTGCTGGACAGCTACTTCGTCCCAGTTCGTAACTCCTCATAAGTGGCCAGCGGTGCCACAGGTCGAACTTGAGACCTTCTGGTTACGAGGTAAGAGAGCTTGTAGATCACTCAGCAGCCACTGAGACCTTCCAGTACAATGGCCAGTCGATGAATTCTAATTTTGCCAATTCATGATATAGAGCGACCACTTCACAATGTCTTATTCGATGAGTTACTGCCTCATTTTCAACCTGCTATACCCCCCCCCACTGATCACGGCTTCACACTGCAACCTCAGGTAACTAACTATCTCTCTGAATAGAACCAGTCGCTAGTGAGTATCAGATCAATTTTCAAGTATTGGTTTTTGTAGGGATTTGTTTTGATTGGTTGGTGGATTTGATTAAAAAATTCTGGGTTCGAACCCCGATGAGTGCGTACCCTGAAAGTTCCAAACTAGGACGAAACAACTGGCTGTTCAGTACTCCCTGGTGGTGGTGGTGGTTTTCCAAAGGTTCTCTAACTGATGTCAGCGCATGATGAAATCCTCCAACCAATCATACAAAAAAATCCCTACTAAAACCAATACTTAAAAGCATATGATCCTGTTCAGTCTATTCTTTCGTGCCTCATTCAAATTTCGTTATGAAACCGACTCAGCAAAATGAAAAAGAGGTGTGCTTTTGAAGCCATATGTTTCACTAGTAATCCAAAGGGCGAATAATAATAATAATAATAATCAATATTAATCTTGGCATGTCAGCTAAACTTCAAAAATTGTCTGCAAAATGTTGCTGCTACTTATAAGTAAGTTAACTATTTTCATTTACTTTTCAAAAAGGATTAACATTGGTTATAACCATTAGAAAGAATTGAACATCTATTTCGTCCTAATCTTCAACTCTTCACAGTGCTCACTCATGATCAAGCTAGGGACGAAATCCAAAGATTGCAGTTAACCACCACACGAGCTCTGATGGGAATAATAGAACCGAACATGAATTCAAACTGTGAACAACCTGAAAGTTCTAAGTTCGATTCCCAGTAGGGTAATAATTACTGCGTAATTACTGACAAATAGTCCAAAATTGGGACGAAACAGGCTGCTAAATACTACCTAATAGTTGTAACTGGTTCTCTAATTGATGTTAAGGAGGAAATACGGACGACTATAAACAGTTATCTGAATTGTTAACAAAATAATCGATATTTTAGAGACTTCATTAAACAAATTCCTCTTTTTAACTTTGAACAGAGAAAGAAGAAACATTAGCGCAGTTTTGGATTGATCTTCATACTAGAGTTGATTTCTGAACCTGTGATCTTTCTATTCATTGCATTACATTATATCATAGCGTCATTCGACTTCCTACATACCAATCTATTGAATTCTAGTCACTGATTATGCAGTTATCCCTGACTCATCACAACTACGACAATAAAAGCTGTTCTCTTATATGTATACCTTATGGCGACAGCTGTCTGCTAGCCAAAATTGGTAGACAATAATTTACATCAATGTTTACAAAGCCTAACCTTGAGGAATTCAACAACCACTCCCAGCAGACTTAACATGTGCAAATACGATTCGCAGATACGGCCACAAACACTGCAGAATAACATTCAGTAAGTAAAACAACCAATCAGAAGTCGTTGCTTCACTGCTGACAATAATGTACATAAAAATCTAAAACTACCTCTTGATTTTCTCAATAAACGATGTGTTGCCTGGCCATTGTCTTCTGTCGTTAGAACCTTACTTTCCCTACGTTTTGTTCTATTTCACTATGACATCCTCACAACAATCTTTACATACTGTATGACAGATTCTTGATGATAAACAGAATACATGGTAAAAGTGTATTATAAATGCGCTTAATAAATATCATAGGTTTTAGGCAACTGGTGATAGCCGACGAAATAAGATGGGTCTATGTATAAAATTATTCCGCACCGCGAATGGTTATTCTACCTCAATTTTAAAATAATCAATGGTTAGCCTTGGGTAAGGAGACTGATGATGCCTTGCAATGGATAACAGCCGAGATAACTGAAGATGAAATACAAATCTGTGATGCCTACAGCGTTGGAGAACCAGTAGCTGAAGGTCTACTAGTAGCTTAGCTTAGAGATTCAACTACTAGCCAGATCTCATAGCTGAGGTGATATAACGTGCATAGGACTAGAAATTCAGAGGCCAGTGGTGCTGCCAGTTCCTCAAAGTCACAGATTTGCATTTCCTCTGCAATCATCTATATAATATTTATTGGTTTCCAATAACCATGAGTATGTGTATTGTAGACCAGTAGGAAATACCCAATATCGATTTTTTCTTGATTTCTTTCCGTTCCGATTGGAACTTAGAGGATTTAGGTTTTCGGCCTGGAAGTTTTGAGTACCGATGGTTCTGTTGTTTTTTGTCGAGGAGTGAAGGTGCTAGCATCATCACGGCCAACCATTCCTCTTTCTCAACCTTACTATCGGCTGTGCAAGCTTCCGGAGAATCGACTGGGAATCGAACCCGAAGCATGTGTGTTTGGCAGGTGAGTCTTTTATCACTGAACAATCACTCAATATCATGGATCAATTATTATTATTATTATGTTATTATTATTATTATTAATAAAGAATGAAATTATTACGGAAATTATATCAGATGATCCATTTCTATGCGTATCGATGAATATGGTGGAAAGGTCAATTTACCATCAAAAAAAACGGATTTGAAGGGTGAAACGGAATTAGCAGTAGAAATGACAATTTTGAATAAACTAAATACAGAGAAACCTTGTGAAACAATTCCACCGGAAAAATATTTAGTAAAGGTTAAGCGTATATATATATATATATATGTTTATATTATCGTTATTCCCTTGGGTTCCAAGTGAAATATAAGCGAACAACAACAACATAAGAACCCTTTGTTCTATACTGTGATTTCCTCTTCAGCTGCCTGTGCTCCTCCTTGACACACCATCTCCTCCATGTCACCCTCACAACGACCACCCCACTCGTCGCTTCTCATTCGGATCCCACTCGGTGTCATTCGATAATCTTCTCAACATATGCACATTCTATCCATCTGCATTTTCCTATACATATTTGTTGAGCATTCCCCTCTTACTTGGTTTGATCGTCGCCAGCCAGAGTTTCTTCTCACCTCTTCTTTCTGGCTGGCCAACCAGCCGGCCATTTGATCTTCAGTGTGGAGCCAGTCAGCCAGCCAGCCAGCAAAGGGAATAGCTGTTGATAAAAGCCTGCTATGACGTGTTGGAAATGATTTCCGTGATGTGTGCGCAGTGCAAGTTTTTTTAATCCGTATAGAAGAAGTCACTATAACTCTACATATGTCTTGAACAGAATCCTAACAAATCTTGTTGTTTATGCTGGCTGGTTGAGTCACTGCAGAAGATTTCCAAACTGATTGTAGGTTGATAAAGGCATATCTTCACTTTCTGATCCCCCGAATAACTGGCTGGCTGGCTGGCTTTGACACCTTCATCCCTGCGCTGTCGCCAGGAGTTTAAGCGATGCTGCATAGCTAGATAGGTGAAGGAAGTAACCTCATTCAAATCCCTCCCTTTGATGGTAATTAGTGCTAGTTGTTGTTGCTGTTGCCAATGGTTGGTTGGTTGGTTGATTATCTTCCTCACCTCCGTTTCTACCTTCTTTATATTCACCTGGAGTCCTGTTTTCGCTGCCTGCCCTCGCTGTTGATTTTCGCCTGCAAGTCTTCGAGTTTGTGTGACACTAAGTATAAATCATGTATGAAATCCATATCTTCTAAAGTCTTCTTCTTATCGATTGTAAAGAAGTCATAGGGAAACAAAAATAAACATGCATCCTCCATATTTTAACTGCAACTGTGTATACCAAATCAGACCTGTAACTGCGAGAGCAGTTAAATTCAGAGAACACAATGAATGGCCTGTATCAGATTCACTGATAATGTGTATCAAACATCCCTCAATTAAAGAGAGAGCAAACAGTTTAAACGCGTTCTTGGCCAAACAACTGATATAGACACACAGGACAGTTGCGAGCATTCAAAATAACTAATGAAGAAAACAGTCCAAGTCTTAGGTGTTGGTTTGTAAGGATTTGGTTGGTTACAGGATTTCATAATGAGCTGCCATTGGTTAGAGAACCATTGGAAAACCACCAACAAGGCGTACTGGACAGCTGTTTCGTCTTAATTTGGGACTCTTCAGCAGTACGCACCCACCGCCACCAGTGTTCGAACCCACGACCTTCTGGTTACAAGGTGATCTCATATACCACTAAGCCACTGGGACACGATCCAATGGTCAGCCCATGAATTCTAACTTCTGCCAATTCATGACATAGCGCGACCCCTAGCCAATGTCTTCAGCAAGTGTTTGTCCTCACTCCTGACCTGCTGCACCCGACTGGTCACGACTTCTCACTAGAATCCCAGGTAACTATCTAACCAATGTCAGCTCATGATAAACTTGTGTAACCAACCAGATCCCTACAAACCATCATTTGAATACCAATGAGATGCTCACTAGCGACTTACCCTATTCAGGTAGATAGTTACCTGGGGTTCTAGTGAGAAGTCGTGACCAGTCGGGTGCAGCAGGTCAGGAGTGAGGACAAACACTTGCTGAAGACATTGGCTAGGGGTCGCACTATGTCATGAATTGGCAGAAGCTAGAATTCATGGGCTGCCCATTGGATCGTGTCCCAGTGGCGTAATGGTATATGAGCTCGCTGGCTTGTAACCAGAAGGTCGTGGGTTCGAACACTGGTGGTGGTGAGTGCGTACTGCTGAAGAGTCCCAAACTAGGACGAAACAGCTGTCCAGTCCTCCCAGGTTTCCCTATGGTTCTCTAACCAATGTCAGCTCATGATGAAATCCTGTAGTCCAAGTCTTACTTGGTTTTGCTAGAGAGAACTCAATAAAACGAGCTGAAATCTGATCTCTCTTTTAGAAAGAATCCAGCAGCACGGGACTACAATCACCTTAGTAAATCTTTGTCTTTGAATTTCATCATTTTCATTTCAATTATCCCATCCCTTCTTTGTTTGACTTACACATTAGGCATAATTTTCAATCCTTTGAATTTTACTCACTGTATTACACCTAATCATCACCTTTTTGTTCGACTTCGTACACATCACAACATTTTGAGCTTCTAATCGTCTGAGTCCTAATCACCATATTATTTTAGGCTAGACGACGGAGTGGGTATGAGGTAGAGAACCATTGAAAATCAACAAGCAGTACTGAAGAGCTATTTTTCATCAGCCTAGTTTGCGATCAGTCGGCAGTACGCATCCCACTAGAGAAAGTTCACCCCCCCCCCGCAGGAGCTTCCGGTTACAAAGCAAGCTCGACTATACGATTCAACCTCAGTCGATGAATTCTAACTTCCACCAAGTTGTGTGTTTTTTTAGGGCGACTACCAACCAATGTCATCAGTGAGAATTTTATCTTCACTCCTGATTGGATGGACCCTATGAATTCTCACTAGCACTCCAAGAAACTTCATCCTGTAATCAGTCACTAGTGACCATTGAAAATCTCTCGTTATGCCGTTTATTATTGACTCATCATCCCTCTATAAAGAGAATTATTCATCCTCCATTAGAAACCTCGTTCCCCCATATGATATATATACCATAACAATTTTAGGATATTCAAGTATTGATTTTTAGGGATTCGTTTGACTGGTTACAGGATTTAGTCATGAGCAGATATCGGTTTAAGAACCATTGAAAAACCTGCAAGGCGTTTCGGCCAGTTGTTTCGCGTCCCAGTTGGGAACTTTTCGTCAGTACACATCCACTGACCTGGGTTCGAATCCAGGACCTTCTGGTTACAAGGCGAGCAAGCTCATAAACCATTAAGCCACTGGGACCGTCTCATCCTTACATTTTGTTTCAATATGTCTTCCCAACAGAAACAATAGAGGCCGTCCGTACGCAACCGACAAGAACTGACGAAATTCAAATAGATCCATATTATTTTGAACCAGTGTATTTGCTATCTCTGTGCAAAATGGTTTTGAGTCGAGAAACTGTTACTGATTGTAGGAGTGATTGATGATGGTGAGGATAACTGAAGGTGGAATGAGAGTCTGTGACGCCCGCCACAGTGTTGAAAACAGTTGAAATAGTTTTGAGATCCAACTAATGACCAAATCTCAAGGTCTACCATTGGTTAGAATCCAGCGATGGCATAGATCTTCAGTCCCTTTCCCACCCACTATTACAACAATATAATCACTTGAAAATTTATTCGTTACCAATAATTAATCTTGAGTAATTAATACTATCTGGAAACACAGATTTAAGTCTCGAGTTTTGGAGTTTCAATAGTGGCGGTGAGTAGTGGCAAGCCTCACTGCCTATCTGCCCTCTTTTCTCCTGACTTACTACCACAGGTAGACAAGGCTTAAGAGAGTGTTGCCCAGGCGCTGAACCAGGGCTAGTACGTGTGACTAGCAAGTATTCTAACATACACACAAACATAAAAAAATAATCCATCCATGTCAGTCAAATATTACTATCATCCGTAGAAAAAAAGGATGATTTCACCGTGAAAAGTATACGACATTATACGAAATTTCAAAATATGTTTCAATGAACACAGTGGAAAAAGGTCAGTCAATAGCTTTGAAGCGTGAAACGGAAAACTAGTAGGCCATGACATTGAAGTGAATATACACCAATGTTAAAATAATACAAAGTATATCGCAAATATAATACACTTATGTCATTGTGAACAGTGCGTCGGTGGCACAGCAGTTAGAATGCTCGCCGACCATGGACATAGTCCGTGGGTTCAATCCCCCGTCGCCAACGCACTCTTTTACCTCGCTAAGCCAGAAGTAATGCTGGTAAACAGGAAAGGTTGGACTTGAGACTGGCTAGCAGCAACCCCATCCTGTAAAATTAAACACCATTGCTAGAGAAACTTCAAGCCACTAGCTTGAAGCTGCCTTATATGTTCCACTGGGGAACGTGAAGGAAGAAATAAAAAAAAATTGTGAACACAGATTTGCAAGACTCACTTTATCATCGTCTTCATAAAGTTTTTCACCTTTTCTGACTATATTGACAATCACCTTCTTCAATGCAATCGGCATATCACCTGATATCTCTTGATAATTCTTCAAGTCGGTTATCTCCTCAGATAAACCCTGTAACAAAATAATTTGTACAAATTTATTTATTGATTTATTGAAAAAAACTTGGTACAATAACGCACACAATAATAATAAAAAAACATAGATCAGAAGTAAAAAAATTTAAATAGAGAACGGATAAAGAACTTCATCTGGAAGGAAAACAGTCATGCTTAACAAGTTCAAACAGTATTCGTTAACTATCATCGCCGGAAGGAAGACACAAAGAAGGAGATTGCAACACGTTCGCCATTGATTAAGACTCTTGGTCATATCCGATAACGTTTCGTGCCATCGATTCAAGCTATCTCGCGAACCTCAACCAGGGAGTCGTGACACATCAACCGATGCTAGTCTAGCACAAACATCCTTCATCCTACGACGCTACATCATGGAATGACCACCCCTCCGCCTTTTTCATCCTGTCCCAGGGCTGGCTAGCGAACAAAGACCAGTACGAAAGCCTTTGGAATGGCATTCGCAACACATGTCCAAGCCAACGACGCTTGGTGTTCCTAGATGACGACACTCAATGAATGGTGATCTCCACTCTGTTCAAACATACGCCGCCGAACCTCAGAATTACTCACGCGATGATGCCGTCGAACACGTAGAGTCGCCGAACATCCTCAGTTTGGAGAGGCTAATTATCACAGGCGTAGAGCAAGACAGCCCATACCGAAGCATTGTATACCCGACTTTTGACAGTCAGGCTAACATCGCGACGGTGCCACAGTTGGCTCAAGTTGATGTATGCCACCCTAGCCTGCATTATACGGTTGGAAATCTCATCTGTCACCCCTCCGCCAGCACTCACACAACTACCCAGATACACAAACTTCAAGCGGCTCACACGCAAGAGTGAGTGCAGGTACAGGCTCCTACACTTGGGCAGCATACATGCTATCACACAGTAAAAGACAAAATAAATAAAACATTTCATTCAAATGAACAGTCGTCGTCAAGATTTGACAGAATAGTTCTAAAATATTTGGGCGCAGAGTGAGAAGTAGACAATTGTAAAAATTTATATTTTTAAAATTTCAGCGAGATTGAAATGAATAATTCCAACGTTCTCTGAGTTCGGAAATCTGGTCCGAACTTGGTGTTGTACACTCTCCATTATCTACAATAGAATGCATATCCTAAATCCGTAGCTGTCGAGTCATCACCTGACAACTCCAGTAGGTCGGAATAAACCTGCTCAATCTGGTCCGAAAGAAGACAAAGAAATAAGTTCGACAGACTGCTTCAACTAAACTCTAATCTTAAACATCATAATTTTGAAAATACGTCTAATCATCATAAAATTCTACATAGTAACAGTTTGAACAGACGCGAAGGTGTGATCGTGTTAGCTGATGCATAGGAAATCCTGATTAATAAATAAAAATGGATATGTATCACTAATTAATTAATAGTACTTGGTCAAAATTCCCGATTGTCTATATCTTCTTATGAAGACGTTAAGAAATGTTTAGCAACTACTTAGCCCCCCCTCACACACACACGCACACACACATACACACTCTGTTTAAAGCGTTTAACAAAGGTAGACCAATATTTGTAAGAGGTCTGAGGTGAAATTTTGATCACAACTCATACAATTTTATCCTAGTTTGGGAATCATCGGCAGTACGCACCCACTGGGTTTCGAACCCGGGACCTTCCGGTTACAAGGCAAGCTCGTATACCATTCAGCCACTGGGACCGATTCAATGGCTAAATCATACAATTTTGTTTATTATACCTGTTGATACTTGTTTTATGACTCATTTGATTGGACAAAGTTTTTAAAACAAACAATAAAGGTTAATAAAGCAGGATTTAATGATGTATTCATCAAATTTCGGTAGAACTCGTCAGTTGAATACTCTACATACGCCGATATGTATACTTTTGAAATTATATTGGGAGATATAAGTCTGATAAGTAAACAGACTGCATTGAATTAGTCATGCAGAAAGACACGTGTGAATGTTTTCCAGGTCATGATCAAATAGATAAGGGGAGAGGGAGTATGAGAGATCGAAATTAAAAATGAATATCTTGAGTTCATTAATAAATACTCTAAGGAAATTAGCCCCTGCAAAACAATCCAAACAGTTCCGAAGAAACCTGTGTATATCAGTTTACCGTTCAAAGGAGATGATGTACAGGAAGTAGTCAAACGAAGACTAGATAAAGCCATCAAGAGAACTTACCATACCGCAAAACGTGTTATCCTTAACACCCCTAAGAGAGTGCTTCAACAATCTGGGAAAGACCAGTCACCAATCCTCGACCCTTTAAACTGTGTATATCAATTTGAGGGTCTTTGTGGAAGCATATACATAGGTCATACAGAAAGGCGACTGTCTACTCGCATGATGGATCATTTGCCAAAATGGTTGAAAACAGTTGAGTACAAAGTGACAAAGTCCTCAATAACAAAACATCTTGTAGACTACGGAAACATGATATCGACGCGGTCAAGTCATTCACTGTTGTCAGCAGACAGACAAAGAAACAAGAAGATGTCTGCAATTCGGGAGGAGGCTTGGGCAATTCGAGTTTATACACCAGGTCTCTGTGTACAAAAGGAGATGGTCGTGACTCTGAATCTACCATGGTAATACGTTTTACTTACTATTCTACCTCTTATTATTATTATTGATTCATTTAAAACTATCCCTTTTCAGTAGGATTATCTTAACCCACTTCAACACTACTAAAATTGTTATTATAACTATTACTATTGATATTACTCTGTTTGTAATTCTTGATATATTCCCTAATGACTAATTGTTTATCTAAGTGATGTAATTGAAGCGTAATGCAATTTATCTTAATTTTGATCTCTCATACTCTCTCTCCCCTTATCTATTTGATCATGACCTGGAAAACATTCACACGTGTCTTTCTGCATGACTAATTCAATGTAGTTTGTATACTTATCAGTCTTATATCTCCCAATGTAATTTCAAAAGTATACATATCTGTGTATGTAGAGTGTTCAGCTGACGAGTTCTACCGAAATTTGATGAAAACATCATTAAATCCTGCTTTATTAACCTTTATTGCTTGTTTTTAATTCGTATCGGGAAAGTTCTAAAAGTTTTAAAAACAAAAGATGTCCCTCTTTTTATATATAAACCTCTATTATGTTAATTTCGATTAATTTCCCTGAAGAAGTTCGGACAAGATTTCCGAACACAGGAAACGTTGGAATTACTCATTTCAATCTCGCTAAGATTTTACAAATGTAATTTTTGACAAGAACATTTTGCTGCTATTCAGAATGATCAATCATCCAATTAACAATGAATGGATAATGTGGTACATTGGCCCGTTTAAACAACTTAACTTTCAAAAAGGTGTAAGTTTCATTGGAGGGATGGGGTTGTGATATATATATATATATATATATATATGTTGGTCTCTCTTTCTGTTTGCTCGCTTAGTCTGTGACCATTTCACTTGTATGAACCTGTCTCCTTTAACAATGTATATTTCCCTTATATTATATATAATATGAGCGTTTGTTGACAGTCCGTTGCTTAGTGACATATATCCATATATGGTGGTTGTTGACATGTCTGCTATATTTCGCTATGTATATATGGATCGATACTTCATTATAATTAGCCATTCATGTTAAGACTGTCTAATGATTTGTTCACACACTTTGTCTGGAACATTTCATATATATTTCGCTCTCACAATTTGTGTGACTGACTTACACCACTTTGGTGTGATACCACTTTTGCATTCTCCTGGTGTTCGGAAAATAGAAGTATCATCGCAAACCTAGTGGTCTTCTGATTTCCGCCTTCTTGCGTCAGGACTATTACATTCTCGACCAGTCCATAACAATAATTTAGCGACGAGTACATAACAGGTTGTAACAATAAAGGTAATAACGGAGTACATTGAACTAGGTGAAAATGAATAAGAAACGCATAATATGACATAAAAATATGGATAATTATGTCCCTGCTGAAGAGGCAGCGAAAAGAGGACTGCAGGGGTGAACATGGAGAATAAGACAGAGGTGATGAAGATGACCAACCATCACTAAACAGCAGCAACAACCACAACCAACACCAATCACCCATTTATCAACGATAGAGATTTCACAGAGGTCATTTCCTTCACTTATCTAGCTGGGAATCAGGGTTTCAACTACAGGCGACGTCACGAATGAAGATGTCAAACCCAGTCAGTCAGAATAAGAAAGACAAGGTCCACCTTCATCAGTCTAAAGCTAGTTTCCAAGTCTTCTACACTCATTCAGCCAACCAGTCAGCCAGCCAGCCAGCATAAACAACAAGATTCCTTCGGGTTGTGTTCAACACAAACGTGAAGTCAGTCAGTGAGTTCTTCTATACGCGTGAGAGCCTAGCACTACGCCTCACAGAGGGGATATCAAAGAGGCTAGTATGAACGTTTATCAACAGCTGCTGCTCCCTTCCCTGAGTGGCTGGCTGGCTAGCTGGCTCTATACTGAAGATCAAATGGCCGGCCGGTTGGCCAGCCAGTAAGAAGTAGCAAGAAGAAACCAACCAAGAGGAGATCTCTCAAAAAATATATAGGAGAATATGCAGATGGATAGAATGAGCATATGTTGTGGAGACTCTTAAAGTATATCGCATGCAGTGCAGATTATCACTTGAGTAGAATCCGAATCGGAAGCGGCTAGTGGGGTCGTTGGTGTGAGTTCAAGCAAAGGCTGACAGATATCAAGTGTAGTGACAAAATAAAGAGGTTGAATTGTAAAGTATAATCAAATACTAGAGATGTAATAAGTTTAATCTAAACTACAAAGGGGTTGGCACTTGATAATTGTGAAAAGAAATACGAAAGCCAACACAATATGACATGAAAATATGGAGAATTGTTTCCCAAATGGCCTTTGTCGTCGTAGGCCAGCGTCAACAAAGTGGATGAATATGTTTTTTGCACACATATATAGGTCAGATTTCTTCTTATTAATCTCTCTAGTTTCCACTACAGCTAAGAGACTTAATCGTGTGTCTTAGTCAGATTGTTTGATACTAAATATACAATCGTAAATGACTCGTCTGTGTTGATGTGGTGTTCACTATCCACTAGATGAGACAAAATAGCATTATTTATTGATTTGTTTACTCTTTTTCCAAACCAAACAGGATCATGTTTAATGAGCGTTTAAATATAAGTTCCTCTGAATTCGACCTATATTATACTAGATCCGCATGAGCAACTGGACTTGTATACACACATTGATGTGGTCATCTGTGATAATTTATCTTTGGTGAACTGTGTCAGTGACGGTCTGGTTGAGAAACTGATTTGCAGTTCTGCGGTACTGAAAGTTGTTCTTTCAACTGATCTGATCAACATACAGTCTACTATATCCCTGCATAGATCACATTTGAACTGTACTCTCACAGCTTAATTTTATCAGTTCTTTTGGAAATATACTTCTTAGCGAAATTGGTAGGATAACCGTTTCCCAGGAGGGTATTTTTTTTAAGATTTATGATTTCATCTTCAATACAATCTTCAGTACAATTTATGCGACTAATCCTATGGCTAAAACAACGAATCAAATTCCGTTTATATTGTAAGGGTATGAAAATATGGAAATGGATAAATTGTCCTCTACATGTCGCTTTTCTGCAGATGCTTCACCTTAATATGCCGTCTGGACTTTTGGTAAATAAGAACATAGAAAAAAGAAGTGCTTCTTTGATATACTCTTCTTTGCAAGGGAATTTTATTGCAGAGGACACACTGTTAATGACCTGCATCAAATGTTGTTTATCCAAATTATTGTCACGAACGAAAAATGTGTCGTCTACATAACGACAATAATTTCAATGGACCCGATCCAACGGCCAGCACAGGAATATTAACTTCTTCCAATTCGTGATTTTGGCGCCACCACCAGCCGATGTCATCGGTGGGAAATCCATCCTCACACTTGACCGGATGGATCTCACTGGTCAGGACTTCTCACAGAACTCCATCCTGTAGCAAGTCACTAGCGAGCATCAGATTAATTTTCAAGAACTAGTTTGTAGGGATTCTGTTTGTTTCAATTTTGACCACGGATTGATTAGTCACGCTAAATCACAAATTAATAAAAGTTAGAATTCATGGGCTGGCCGTTGAATCGGTCCCAGTGTCTGAATGGTCTACAAGCTAGCTTGCCTTATAACCGGTAGGTCCTGAGTTTGAACCCCAATGTGGAGTGGGTGAGTAGTGCCAATGATTCCAAAACTAGGATGAAACAGCTAGCTGTCCAGTACTCCAGTGCTGGTTTTCAATGGTTCTTTAACCGATATCAATCCGTGTTTAGATTAAATCGAAATATCTAACTTCTATCCACACATATTTCGGTTCCTTGATACGAATGAGTCCACGACGCCATTATGATTAACATGATATTACTTGTTTTGCTTTTGGCTGACTTCAAAATCCAGGGCTACATCAACTGTACAGAGAAGCTGGGGAGCCACATTTTGTGCACAGAGCGCTCACATGAAGGCACTGTCGAATCATCCAAGCATGGAGTGAACATATAAAAAGAGATGGAGCATTTTAGACAAATGCGAATCAATCAACGAACGTGGATCTCGTGTCTGGTGATTAACCCTTAGGAATTTGAAACTTGGATGTCAGATTGCAGTCCCAGTTAGAACATCACACCTATCAATAAGAATGCAGGTGTATTCAGGCGGATGAGTCTAAAATAGTGTAGCATCTCGTGATTGAAACATCGTCTAAAACTTCAAGCTATTTAACACTGCTATGCCGAAGCATAAAAGACTGGAAAAATGAAAAGAAATTGAATGTAAATCATAAGCACACGCGTATACACACACACACAAATCACTGTAATTAAATGTCAGCCAGATCAATGATGTGCGCCAGTAGCACAGTGGTATAATACTTGCCGACGACGACTCATGAGGTTCGGGTTCGATCTCCGACCACTCGACGCACTTCTTTACCTCGCGCTTAGCCAGTTATAAGACTGGTAAAGGAGGAAGTATGGGCGCGAGGCTGGCCAGTAACCTCATCCCGTAAAAATAAATAAACACCACTGCTACTGAAACTTCGAGCCTCTTAGCTTGAAGCCGCTTTATGGTCCACTTGGAACGAATTGGAATAAAAAAAAGCAGACCAATGATTCTTGGATGGAAAAAAGGAGGGGAGAAATAATTCAAAATGCAAAAAAAAATAAAATCGATCCTTACATTATCCAAATTATTTTCATAGTGATCTGATTCACCATTCTGTTGCCTAGCATGAATATTTTCCATAGATGATGAGTCGAAATCAACGACTTGTTTTGCTTCTTCTTGTTCAACATATTTAATTCGTCTGAATAGAAAAAAAAAGATAAACAAAAATATATATTAGTAAGAAGAAGACTCCGAAAGGCATGAGATTATATTAGCGTATCAGACTCTGCAGCATCGAGGATGATGATTTGAGCTAGTCATATCACCAATTGTCTCCAGCTGCCATTGGTTTTTCACCATCCTGAGGACCCGAACCAGACAGTGGTGTACAGTTCCTTATGTGGCTGGCTGGCTGGCTTAACCTAACTGTTATGGATTTCATTCATTGACAGTTATATGTACACTGATGACGAGGTTTCCAGCACAATTTATTACTGCCACTCATAATCATATCAAGCTGCTCACTCACACAAGTTTGTAAATTCATTTATATAATTCCATTATTTTTTTATGTATTGATTTGATTGGTAGTAGTATTTCCCATATCTCTGGTATTCACGTTGAGTCATTTCTGTTGCATGTGCTGAGTTGGGTGTAGACTCGACGAGCCAAGCAGGATTCAGTAATCAACCTCTCTCACTCTCCACCTACCTATATTACTTTTTTAGAATTTTAACCCTCTCCCACCCACATTATTGTGTGTTTGTGTACAATAGCTGAGTTTGTTTTCTAAATTACTTATCTTCGCGAATGGGATCAACCATTCTAATCTTAGCTGAATTTTTATGTTCTGATAATCTCACTACTCCCGACCTACTAGTTTGGCCTATGTAGTTGACTTAACTCACAGTCATTGCAAGGTATTTTTTGAATTATATTATTTGTCTAATTGGGTCAACTGGCAGGGTCCTTTAACCTACAGAGCTTGTCCTACACCTGAGTGAGTTCGTAGGTTTAAAATGTCACCCTAATCCCTGCGCTTTATTGAGAATAGAACGTAGGGCCTCAGATGTCCCCTAGTTATATGGTATAACAGTAGATGCCTTATAATCTCTCTTATTTATTTTATCATTATTAGTTTCATAATAATTTTTTTGGCCTTTTCCGTTATTCCTAATGAATTTTAAGGATAGTTATTTAACATCAACGCCTCTTCAATCTGTGTTATTTCATCATTTAGGTTTTTTGATGTGCTACTTAGTGCTTTAATCGGTTTATTAGAAACTTAACTGAGCTTGCCCTCACAGACAGTTAACAGATGAGATGAATTAAAGTCTAAATATCAGTTAGCAGAATCCGTTGGCTTTTTATAAACGCCGCTAGTGTACAGTTTACCTTCTTCTATTCTTTTTTACTTGACAATCTAACATCATGGCTAATTCTCCTTATTCATTTTCTGATTACAAAAGGTGAATTTTATTCCCTTTACTGCTGGTGAGTTGAAAACTTAACAAAATCAGCAGAGCAGTTTATACACAGGAATAGAGAAACTACCTCATACAATCAAGCCAATACAATAGACACTGCGTACAGCAGCGCAGAATAACAACAGCAGTAGAGTATCATGGCGGAGAAATTCAAATTTTCTTTTTCCTCTATGGTCAATAATTAATATTTTGTGACAGTTTTAACTGAAAGAACTTTAAGATTTTCAAATTTTGTATTTCTTGTTAATTCCCTATATTGAATCGAAACGTCGATATGTCGGCTACTCCTACGGATGCTTCGATGACATCCAAGGATAAACATAATGTCATATTTGGTGGATGATAGTGGTGTTGTTTGAAACGATAAGTTCTGGATTTAAATTTTCAATGGTGATATCAATTATCATTCATTCATGCATTTATTCCCCTTGATGAATTTGAATAAAGCAAGAACAACAGTGGCGGCTTGTGCAGAATAATATGGTACCATCATTGCTTATTTCATTCGTCGGCTTCTCATCAGCTCAGTTGCGCACAGGCCAAAATCATTATTAAGTATATCTGTAGTGACAATTTTAACATACATCCACACAGAGTTCATTTTTAAACAAAAATCAAAAACCTCTCACTCCCTTGGTAACAGAATTTTGATTTTGATTAGTCATCTAATTCAGTGATATCAACTCACTGAACAAATCTTAATCTCATAAACTGTAACCGTTTTTGTTTCTTGAGTTGCTATGTGAACCTACAAGCTAACGCTGTTCTGTTAATCAATTTTTCTGTTTTCTGTCTTACCCCTCCCCCCCTCTTTTCAACTTTAAAAGCGTATAAATTGATGGTGAAAACTTAAACTAAAAAAATTGTAATGCTTTCATTTAGATGCGTCAATTTATAGTATCTCTTTTCTACCACCACTCGAACATTAAAGTATGTTATTATCATCTATATAACCATTGTAATTTCAGGTAGTCTGCAGCTGATGAGAACCTGTGAAATGGAATGACGATATCATTTTACACTGCAAATTTCGTCTTTCTTTCTTTATCGAAAAATCAATCAATCGGTATATGCATACAGTAATATTAATATTTATTTATATATGTCCAACTATGAAAGAACAAAGTTGAAGCATTCAATCAACGAAACAACTTCTTATTGTCGTCGATATGTCGATGACACATTTTTAGTGTACAACAATGAAAATCATGCTTCCCACCTACTCAGTTTATTATTCAACGACGCACATTTCAATATTGAATTTACTATAGAACATGAAAAAGATGCTAAGTTCCATTTCCTCGACATTGCCATGCAATGTCTAGAGGATGATAGTCTCCACAGGTTAATTTACCGAAAGCTTACATGGAATGGAAAATACTTATATTTTGATAGTTTTTGTCCAAATAGCTATGAACGAGCGCTAGTCAAGACCCTATGCTATAAAGCTAGGAGATCACCCTTTTTAGAGAAATTAGAAGAAGAATTTATGTTTCTTGAAAAGATGTTGAAAACTTCACTAACAAGTACGGAAGATCTGAGGGATCAAAGGTCAAACAAATCACAGTGAGAAGAAAGTCCATGTTCATTGAACTTGATTATGAACGTGAAAACATTGCAGCAATGGTCAACAGAAGACTGAGTATGTCACTAGCCAGAGCCTATCCTGCAGCTAAGCTCGTTCCCGTCTATCGGACAACTTGCTCTTTGGTGCAATCAAAAATCGTTAGATATACTTCTCGTGTTGACTTCAGCTGTATGTACAAATTTACATGTATCTGTGGGGGCAGTTACATTGGAAGGACAGAAAGAAGGGCATATCTAAGATTTTATGAACACGTACCAAAAAGCTTACGTCTAAAGGGAACAAATGCTTTAAACAGTGCCATCGCCAGGCATCTCCTCGACACGGGTCATGAAGTGGACGTGGAAAAGTCGTTCAAAATTATTATTAGGCAAAAGAGCTCAATTCTCCTTAAGTTTGCTGAAGCGATTTCTATCAAACGCTTGAAACCTGATCTATGTGTTCAGAAAGAAGCCGTTATTAGTCTTTCCTTGCCTTGGTAACTGGATGCCTTTTTTTCCCTGATCTGATGACGTAATCTTTGTCTTTAACCTCACCCTCCCTTTTATAATCTGTTATTTTGCTTGTCTCTTGTTTCTATGATTTGGGCTCAACTCAGTACATTGTTACCTAACTTACTAGTCACTATGCATCTAACGCACATCTCATCTTTATTATGTAACTCCTTTACCATTTTCTGCATACATTTATTTTGTTTTAACTTGAACTGCCTGTGTGAAAATTATATAAGCGCAATTTTCTGAGCACTGTTTACTAATTGTGGAAATTTCTGTCAACTGACAACATGTAAAATTTGCAAGTGTGTTAAAACATTTTTGTCCATAAACCTCATAAATAAATGATGGTACCATATTATTCTGCACAAGCCATCACTGTTGTTCTTGTTTTATTCAAAATCATGTCTGTACATCCCCAGTTGATAATAACTCACAAACAAGGATAAAATACTGCCTACCCTGCATTCATTAGTAAGGGAACCATTGGAAAACCAACACCAAAGAGTACTGGATAGCCAGCTGTTTCTCCCACCAAGAGTGTGGGACTCTTCATCAGTAGTATGTGCCAACTCACCACTAGGGTTACAACCCAGGACATCCCGGTCACCAGGCGAGCTAGCTTGCAGACCAGTAGTAAGCTACTGGGACCCGCTAATCCAATGGCCAGTCCATTAATTCTAACTTCTGCTAATTCATGATATAGCGAGGCCACTTCGCAATATCTTCTTCAACAGGTTACTGCCTGCCTTCACCTCCAACCAATCAAACAAAATGCCCACGAAGAATCAATACTTGAAAATATCCTGGATTCCACTGCTATTAGTCATCATCCATTGTAAACAGAACTTTATTTAACTTCGTTCCGATTAACTTAGTTTCTCGAAAAAAAAAACTTATTTTTATTTTACGGTTTAATATGAACACTTGCTCTTTAACATGTACTCATAAACTGTGCCAACATTTAAGCAGAAGTGAGCAAATAAAAAAGGTCGATATTGTATGTGCATATTATATCATATCACTTAGTTTAAGATTATAAATGTGAGTAGAGTATTAGTGTTGAAACACAACACTACGTGCTGTAGAAGTACCAAATTAACTTATGAGGTTAAAGTTTCTGTTTGCTTTCTTTATTGTCAACACGTTTATTGCTCATTTGCTGTTGTTATTATTATTATTATTATTACTTTACAAGAGTTGATTTGTAAGGATTAGTTTTGTTTTTGTTATTATTATTATTTTTTTTTGGTTACAGCTTGATTCCACACCGTATTCTTGGTACAAGTATGGAATTTTCAGCATGCGATATCGGTAGCCCAAAGTCCGTAGGCCGACCATAGATATCAGGTGTGCGTCGGCGAGGGTTCGAACCCCGGACCATGTGCATGGTCGGCGAGAGTCCTAACCCCTATGCCACCGAGTTTTACCATGGATTAATATCAGTTAGAGAACCATTGGAAACCAGCCACAGGGAGTACTGGAGAGCTGTTTCATCGGCAGCTGTTTCACCCACCACGAGGGTTCGAAGCCACGACCTTCCGGTTACGAGGTAAACTCGTAAATCATTCCAGTCACTGAGACCTGATTCATTGGCCAGCCCATGAATTCTAACTTCTACCAATTTGTGATT